TTATCTATGTTCTAAATTCAATCATGTTTGGTTGAAAAACAAGGTAGTTATAGCCATTTGAAGTTTCAGCCAATCAGATTACAGCACACATACATTTACGTGATTTCATAAATTTTTATCTTTATTGTATTGAAGAATATCTAAATGAATGACTATATTTTAAAATTCCAAACATTTCGTCAAAAAAAGGAGATATAGCCATATAAATTTTCAGCCAATCAGATTGCAGCACACGTGCATGCGCGTGATTTCATGAATGTTTTTCTATATCATATTTTAGGATATCCTAATGCATGACTATGTTTTAAATTTCAAAGCATTTCGTCAGAAAACAAAGGAGATATAGCCATTTAAAGTTTCAGCCAATCAGATTGCAGCACGCGGGCATGCGCATGCTTTCATGAAAATTCTTATATATCATGCTGAAGATCTTCATAATGTAGGACTATGTTCAAAATTTCAAAAGATTATGACAAGAAACAAGAAAGATATTGAGACTTTAGTTTCAGCCAATCAGAGCGAAGCGCACGTGCATGCGCGTGAGATCTTGCTCTTTTGACCATGCCATCTTGTCTATACTACTAATGTATCCTTACATTATGAGTTTGAAAACATTTCATTAAAAAATAGAAAAGTTACGGCAAGATACATTATATTGGTCATTTCACGTGTTGCACGTGCGCGCTCTTGCAAGCACGTGCGCGCAAAATGACCTTCGTTCGGCAAATCTACATAACATGTCTACTGACCCTAAAAACATTTTACCTTAGTCGGATGTGTAGTTTACAAGATCACTCGTGGACAAAATTTTCCCAGGAAGAAGAAAAATAATAATAATAATAAGAAACAGAGTAAAAACAATATGTTCCCCAACTTCGTTTGGGGAACATAATAAGAAACAGAGTAAAAACAATATGTTCCCCAACTTCGTTTGGGGAACATAACTAGTGCTAATTGTAACGGGGACCGTTACAGATGTTCCCCAAACGCTCCCCATGTCCCTTATCGTGCCTTATTCCTCTAAGACCTTTTATAAATATGCTAAGTATCCAAAGATTTCATTTAAGAATATAAAAGTTACAATGATATCAACTATCAATGATATATTGTTTAACGTTTTGCATGTGCGCACACGTACATGTACATGCATATGCAAGATGATTATGGCATGTTGATTAAGCGATTAACATATCTTTCTATCCCGCGAATCAAAGAAAAAAAATACACAGTCATATAAATTTACCATTTTTCAAGCATTTCTCATATTTTTAATATATCGATTCACATTTTATTTCTCTACTTATTTTAACCTCGGACTCAAAGTTGGTTTTATTCCGACGACAAGGCAGGGTTTTAGTCGACTAAGGTTATCACGCCAATACCTAACCAATCAAAATGAACTTATTCAATAGTAGTTCCATACATGGAAAAGGGATTTTCCTTTCTGTTCAGAATTTTTTTTAAATATTTCCTCTCAGGCCATTTTGACAACTCTGATACCTGTGCCTGGTAAATTTTATATACTTTGTAAATAAATATATAAAGGTTTTTTGACCGGAACTATTCATTTTTTCCAATGCATAGGGGGCTACTCTCTGGGTTTTACAAGAGATGTTTAAAAAGACATTCGTGTCAGCTAATGTGACCTATATTGTTTAACACCTTCTTATTAATATTTTTTCATGAATGCAAATATCTGATTATTTTACGAAGGAGCGTACATGTATATTGATTTTTTAATATACCGAAAATCGCTATTTCTGGGGATTGCGTAATTCTAAAAAAAATTCAAATAAATTTCAAAGGTAAATTAAACAAAGGATGCTTGGTATTAAAATATTATTTCAAATCAGTAGAATCGAATGCTATTAACGACATCTGAATAAATAGGCTATAAAAGGCCTATATGCCAACTTTGGTCATCTGCACTTTAATTTCAAACACGACAGGATTTGTAATTTTTTCTGTATAAATTAATAATTTCTATATACTTTAGAAACTCAAATGAAATATTTTAATACACTTTCCTCGAGCTCTTTTCTGCAGTTTTCCTGAATTTTTATGTGGGTCCGAGGTGTTATTTGAGTTTAACAGTGATTCTCTACGTTGCCATTAATTTGATTTGTTTGTGTGTTGGGGGGGGATGGGGGGTATTTTTATTCTTAACCTATTTAACGTTGGAGTTGAATCTTGTATCTTATTCCAAGAACTTAAGATTGATTGTGACATTTGGATGAACGGTCAAGGTCATTAAAAACCACCACCTCTTCAACTTCTAACCTGTCAACCGAAATAAACTCTGAAAGGTGTTTCTAGATACATATACATGTACTTCATGTTTCTTTTTACCCTTGGGTCAATGACAAAGTTTAAGGTCGATTTCAAGTTCATAGGTCAAGGTGATTTTGGTAAATAGTTAAGAGTCAAAATCAGCAAGCATCGAGCATTGAATGGAAAGTCAAAATTTTATTTTTTCAAAAGCTTTTGGTATATGAAAGATTTTGTCCTACCTAATGCTAAAACACAATTAAAATTTTTTTTCGAACGTATGAAGGGACTGGTATCCAAGGAAATTCATTTCCTTAGCAACGGGCTCATAAATCCTTATGAAAATCAATGATTTTTAGACATTTTTCTATGAATATGTTTTCTGAACGTGATAAGATATGGTATTTTGGTTACTTTATTTGTTGAAAGATGGAATTACTTTATTCTTAAAAAATAGGAAAAACAAAATTTCTGTAGTGATATTGTTGCCATGACAACGGGAAAAGAACATGGCGTCAATGCTTTTTAATTTTGAAAAGAATTGCATATGTTTATCACCATATACACAAAATCTACAACTACAGCTGGAAAAATGAATGCTGTGATCTTGTTAGGGGTTATCTATATGTCATATCTATACAATAAAATTTGCAGGCAACTTTAGCAGAAAAAAGTTACAAATGGTTAAAATGTGTGACAATCTGGCATTTATAAGCTTTTTTGAAGGGGTGGAGGTAAATTGAATACATGTACAGTGTCCATTATATTGGTCATATTGGTCTGATCAAAGCATACTCATAATTTTACTATTGTTGATAAATAAATGCACATTAAATTTCAAAAGGAATGCATATTCCTCACAAACGAAACTTGGAAATAAAAGGGGGGGTTATAGGAAACACCTTGTCACATATCCATATGTATGTAAAATTTTGACTTGTCCATTACATTTCAATGAAGCACCACTGAAAGTTCAAACTTGATATTAAGATTGCTTATGATCTGGAGATGTGTCCAAAACTTGACCCAAGGTCATTTGAACAAGTTCAAGGTCATTGGTAGAAGAATAGTGCAATCTTTGCCCATTCTGTAATATTCTAATGAAAAGACTTGAAGTTTCATCTAGGGGATTATTATTTGAGCTGTGGGTTTGTCATGACCTTGACCAAAAATTCATTTGGACACGTTTGACCTTGACTCAACGACATAGCTTTTTCAAGGTCACTGCAGTAAAAGTGTCTATTTATGAGTTTGGTACATTAACATATTTAACTTTGAATGAAGAGAAATTGGAAGTTTGTGTTCTACACAAAGGTTTTACTACCTATGACTTGAGTATATGTCATAGTCATTTGGGTATATAAATCAGCAGTAGCAAAACGTTAAAAAAGGTTTTAAATAAATATTTGGACCTTTTTTGTAATTAAAAAAAACGTTTTATGTTATACCAGTAGGGTTGATATCATTTTAAGAGCTCGCTCATAATAATTCTAGTTTATGAGAGAGAGTCACTATGACAGCTCACATAATTTTAATTTATTAACACTTAGTAATAAATACAGGTTTTTTGCAATGCGATATGGCTCACTCACAATAGCCGTATCAGCCCTGCAGGGCTGATTTGGATATACGGGGCTGATAACCTATATCAGCCCTGCAAATCCAGCACTGTTTTGTGACATCAATATCACATCCTTAGTAAACTGTACTATGTGATCGTACACAATTTTTGGTGGGTTCATATTCTCTTAATTTTAAATTTTTGAAAATATATTATATATTAATATACAAATACATGTAATAGATTATTTTAAATCTAAATTTGAATTTTAAATTCGGCCCTCTGGCTGATATTGGTGTCTCGGAGAGAGATGTGATATGAAAAGGGTATGTATTATTCTTATATAAAACCATATCAATCAGGCATGTAGCATCAGGTTTTTGGGTGGGGTGGGGGGATTGACTCCCCAACTCAATTTTTTTCTCAACATAACTGATGAAATTAATTTTATTTATACAGCACAAATTATGTTTAACCCCCCCCCCCCCCCTGAGTTTGGAGAATTTCTCCACTTTTTTTCTTGCAGTTTTTTTTATGCCTACTCCACACCATGCACTTTCAAAAATGATACCATGTCTGTCAGAACGAATGACTGCAACCTTTGGTATTGAACCTACGATATATTCTCCTGCTGTCCTAATTAAGAAACAATATTGCAAGACAGCTAAGACCTCAGTAGCTACTGGTACCTAAAATAAAAATCTGGAAGGGCTATATATATACATGTATATGAATGTCTAAACTTGAACTGACCCTAAAAGATATTTTATATTAATAACCCTAATGGGTAATCTTTTGAATGACATATATCGAAATTTTTGTTGTATTTATATTTAAAAACATTTTGAAAACAATATAGAAATCAGAAGAGGATGACAAATATTTTTTTATATAATACATAGAGATACAAAACATAAATTTGAGGAACGTGTCATCTGCCTTTAAACTAGCCCTCTTTCTTTTTTCTCACAAAAACATTTTGTCAGTTTTGAAATTAATTGATTGATCATTTAATATTGACCTTGTTTTAATTATGACACTTCAAAATGCAGAATATAAAGATATGTTTCAGATTCTAATTATGAATCTGCATGCCAAAAATTGATAGTTACATGTATTAGATTTACATCAACAAAAAATGCTAACAGACAAACCAAGAATGTTACTTTTCGATTAAACATTTTTATTTGATCCACTTTCATGAATACACTGTACAATTTATGGATCTATTTTCTGGATCCCTGAGTCTCCGGTAACACTATCCACTCACTTCCAGCATCAATGGTCTGTACTGTAATAATGTATTCTCATAATCTGAAAAAAAGTGATTAAATTAAAATGTAATAATAATATTATACAGCTTTGCCTTCATATACTTGGAACCATTTCTAGTTGGGCTTGAGCAATGATGCAAAGCATGTTTATTGGAATCAATTAAATTCCAAGAAATCTCAATGGTTTATCATTTTATTTTTAAAAAGTTAACGTTTTTACTAAATGTATTATTTACATGTTTTTCCTGTCTAATTCTATATCAGCTCATCCAATTCTGTTTCTGTTTCTTTCCGAGTTTGGCTTCAAAGTGCTGAATTTCATTCTATAAACAGAAGTATACAACACAAAGTTGAGACCGTATTGATCTTAGATATTCTTTAAATTTAAAAACTTGCAATTAAAAGGTCAACTGGTTCCATAAGTTTTGTCAAAACTCTAAATTATGTTTTTTATTTCTTTCCAATACCCCCCCCCCCCCCAAGAAAAAATGGAGTATAGATATTCATTTCATAAATTTACGTGCTTTAAATCTATTGATGCTTATCATTTGAACCTAGTTGACCTAAATTAGTTCAGTGGTACCGGAGAAAATATTAGCTGAATATGAGTTTTCTTTTATTAGTAAACACTGGATGACATTAGCAAAAAGTTATTATTTTTTTAAAATTAATTATTTTTCTGTGGTATATATACAATTCAGTTACCACTAGTCCACTACATAATACACTTGTCTGTATCACAATACTTCCATGGTAATCCCCTTTCCTAAACTAATATATATTAAGTAAGTAGTTAACCCCCTGCCCCTTTTTCATTTTTTTTACGGACGCCATAACAAAGGTCATTCCATTTTACAAATATTTCATATAGTGGTGGTTTTCATAAATTCATTACTTTTCATGTAAAGAGCAGGTATTATCTTAAATGGTAAATAAAGATATCTACTAAAATAAAACAAAAATTTTATTTACCCGACTATCAGTTATAATCATTATAGCTTGTGACAGTGGTGAGTGACTTTGGTTACATACATTCCGTGAATACAACAAATTAAAATTAAACAAAATTCATATTAAACTTTATAATTTGGGATACAGATATGTGACTAATCATGACCACCTTTTTCACGTTAGGCGCGTAGATACAATCTAAGTTGGGGGGGGGGGATAATTTCATTTGCTCATATTATAGTTTAATATCGGCTATATTTTTTTTTTTGGGGGGGGGGGTCATACCCCCCTCCTCCTGGTTCCTCAGGCCATGCATAATCTTTTCTTTTTTGTTATAAAATACTAAAGTAATGCTAACATAATCAATCAGAATTAAATTCAAATGTGCAAAAACATTTGCCAAGTGTTAGATATTTTACTGCATGGTTAATTTATGCTATACATTCTTCAGTAACTGTTGTAATGGTAAATTGTAAAAAATTCAATCACTCACCGTAATTAAGACTCATGAAAACGCCAAAACTGAGGCTCAGACTGCTCCAAGTTTGTAATTTTCTGCTAGTCTTCTGTACATTGTTATTGAAAACAATGTAAGCAAAATACCGTTTATTCCTCCTATGTTAGAGAGCTACACCAAAGGGGGGTAATTTGAAGCAAAAGTTACAGAAAATTATGGATTTAAATCAGTTATCATACATAAATGCTTTAGTTGCCTGCAGATTTTTTTCTTGATTCTTCTAGAACAAATACTGTTTAATAAATATTTTATGTTGATAAGCTTTAATGTGGTTGTAGATTTCTTATAAAGTACTTCAAATTTGCTGTTTTTTAAAGCAAAATAAACCTCCAAAAACTAGTTATATCTATCAAAAGGTGAAGAGAATTTCAAAAATCAACAGTTGCTAAAATAGAGTATATTTATATGAATAAAATAATAATTTAAAAAGCTTTTTTTAATGACTAGTAATAAAAAAGTATTTGTTTAACCATAAATTCAAGTGTCATGATAAAGTACAAAACACGCTATCTGAAAGGCGTGTGGTTTCCATAGCAACAATGCGAAAAATTATTTTTTGCTTGCTTTTTTCTATCATACCCTTTGTTCTGAAAATTTATATATGAGTTTTAACCAAATCTGTTTCTATGCCACTTTCCACATTTTTTAACTAAATGCTCGATGCTTGCTGATTTTGACTCTTAAGTATGTTACATGTCTTGACATTTAGAAGTTCTTAATTCTGCATGAACATCAAACACTCAAGTATACTGTCTTTTAATACATTGTGTGCGGTCGCATGTGCATGCACGTCCATGTATTTACTTTTGATAGTAGTATAATGTAGGCAATCATTATATCTATTCATATTTGAAATTTCACCCTGTATTATTGAGAACCAAGAAAGTTGTAGGCATTTAAAGTTTTAGCCAATCAGATTGCAGCACACGTGCATGTGCGTGCGTTCATGATTATTCTTATATATCATGCTGTAGATCTTTATAATGTAAGACTATGTTCAAAATTTCAAAGGATTTTGTCAGAAAACAAAATAGATATTTAGACTTTTAGTTTCAGCCAATCGAAGCGAAGGGCACCTGCATGTGCGTGAGATCTTGCTATTTTGACCATGTCATCATGTCTATACTACTATTATATCCTTATATTATGAGTTTCAAAGCATTTCATCCAATATTTAAAAAGTTACGGCTAAATCTATAATATTGGTCATTTCACGTGTTACACGTGCGCGCACCTGCACGCACGTGCGCGCAAAATGACCTTCGTTCCGCACATCTACATAACATACCTAGTGACCCTAAAAAGGTTTCACCTAGATCGGATGAGTAGTTTACGAGAACACTCGCGGACAAAAAAGTACCGGAGAACAAAGAAAAAATTCAGAAAAAGTAAAAACATATGTTCCCAAACTTCGTTTGGGGAACATAATAAGAAACAGAGTAAAAACAATATGTTCCCCAACTTCGTTTGGGGAACATAATAAGAAACAGAGTAAAAACAATATGTTCCCCAACTTCGTTTGGGGAACATAATTAGGGAGTGAAAGGTAGTTGATTGACCAATGCTAGAAAGTGGAGAAATTCTCCCCAAAAGAGCGCAAAAAATATTGCACCGTAAATTGCACCTATTTTGCACTACGGGATCTGTAGCGTTATGGTCAAAGACAAATATATAAAACCATAACGCTACAGATCTGCAGCTAAACCCTACCCATAACTTTTGATTGATCTGAGCTATGATTCTCATTTTTGACATTTGTATTATAACAACACATTCCCTTGGGTACCAATATATTTAATCTTTTGACCTTGACCTTTGAGTTTGACCCACTTTTGCAAAAATCTGCCCAACTTTAATCTTGAACATATCTTTTTGGTGTTAGTGAATCATCTTGATCAAACCTTTGCAAATCTTCGCTAGCCAAGGGTTTCTCTTGTAGAGTAGATTTCAGATCGGAAACCCTTGGCTAGCGAAGATGACCTTTGCATGGATGTTAACTTTTTGACCGTGGAGTTTGACCCACATTTTAAAAACTTTAACCTTGGTCATACCTTTTGAACAGTTAGTACTAGGGATTTCAAATTTCACAAGTATATACCCTGTGACAAGACCTTCCTTTCGATGCTAACAATACTGACCTTCACCTTGCCGTTTGGATGACATTTAAGAAACTATAACTTGACC